TTGTAGACCATCCCAATAACTTTGAGTGTTGCCTTTGTGTTTAGAATATAGTGAAAGGAGAGCATGAAGCAGGAAAAACCAGGATGTAGGTAGTCTAATAACCCAGCTGAGAGTTGATGGTGGTTTTAAGCAGATTGGAACAGTGCAAGTGGCTAGAAGATGGATTGTGGCTGTAGTGAGGTTGAGTCAACAGGATTTTATAGCAGATATGATGGATATGCGGCATATTAGAAATTTAAGGCCGGGTTCTGAGACCTTTAAGGTCAGTGAGTGTGAATTTGAAGTGAAACCAGACAAGGTGGTTTCACCAGTTGTGAGAGAGAAGGCTAGTATGAGTAGAGCATTGGATTTACTCACAGTTGTTGTTGAGAAAATGAAACAAATGTGAAGAAGATGTGCTGAGATCATTTATTAGAGGTGTTTGATATTTAACTGGGGAATCTGCAGTTAACAAGGCGGACAGGGAGAAATCATGGAGATGAGAGAGTGGAAAGATGGTCTTCGGCATGGATTCCATTTTTGGTGGGGGGACCATTGGAACTGGGCTACTTGAGAAAGTATGCTGGAAATAGAAATGGTGGCTGTTAGCATAAGATGTTTGCAGGTAAGATTTAGGATACAAGAAAACAAAACAAACAACCAAAAACTGCTGACATCCTTTCCAACTCAGTTGCACAGTGGGCTGAGCATTGGGAAGCCAACTAAAAGGTCAGTGATTCAAATTTGCCAGGCATTCTGTGGGAGAAAGACAAAATCGTCTGCATCTGTCTGGACTTGCAGTCCTGGAAACCCCATGGGCAGTTCTGCTCGCCTTTATAAAGTGTCACTATGAGGTTTAGAATGGGTTGTAGGTAAGGCAGAGAGAGAAGCTAAGTGAATAACTGATGAAAGAAAGAGTCTAGGGAACTGGAAATATCCTCTTCATGGAGATTGAAATCAACAAGTCCTAGCACAGGAGCAGCGTGGGAAAGAGTTGACAGTGAACAGGCGACAATATCTTTTAATGAATGAGAGGATGGGACCCAGAGCAGTAAACTCTCCTAAGAGTGAGAGGTAGTAGCTCCCTTGTGAGTGATGGTATGAGAATCAACATTGAATTTTTTCCAGAATGGAGAAAGAAAATGTACCAGAGTCATCAAAAGAAATGAATCGGTATGAGGACTGCAGGGAAGCAGAAACCTTGGGGGAGAAGTGCATTTCCATTAGAGAAAAAAGTTGATGAGAAAATGAGAAAATTCATAGAAAAGGGTGAATTCATAGGGGGTTTTACTGATGACTGACCTTGAGTATCAAAGATCATAGTGGAAAAGATCAGAGGATATAGGAAAGAGCTGAAGTTATGATCAAGAAAGGTTACATGCAAAATGCAAGATAATTTGAGTGTGGGGCATGAGGGATACAATGGAGATCTTGGTATAAGGGGCAGAGTTACATTTGTCCTAATGTCCCCAAGGCAGATGGAGTGGAGTGTTGAGGGGGAAAAGGAAGGCTAATGAAAACCTTGCCAAGGGAACACAGAATGCTGAGCTGCTACTTAACTTCGGATGGTGGCCTGGACTCCTGGAAAGGAGAAAGTCTAAATGCATGCCTGGTTTCTTGTTCCAACTCGTGGGAGCCTGCAGAGAGTGTCTGCAAGAAGGGTTCACGATGCCTCCTGACTTCCGATGGAGCACAGTGCAGGGCAGGGAAGGAGAAACGCTGCCCTAATCCCAACTCAGCTCGCATTCATGGGCTGAAATGATCCTCGAGGCTTTGTTTCTTGTGCCAGGAAACACTACTGAAACACTTACGAGGGAGGCAATTGGGGCGGGGGGAGTGTCACAAATAACTAGCGTGATGGCACAAAACCAAAGGTATGTACTGACTGATGCCTGGGGCCAAGAGGGCCTTCAGGTGATATTTATTCCACATTAAAAGATCTCCCCAGTTGCCAGTGTAGATGTTTGAATTCTCACCCTGTACAGATCATAGAGTGTAGTCCAACTAAGACTTTAAGAGCAGCATGGTGCCATGCAAGAGTGCAGTGTCTGATATTCCACTCCTCCCAATCTAAATTTTGCTTTGGCCCCTCATCAGCCATATTCAGTTCGTTCACTTGCTTTCATTTTCTAACTTCCTGGGAGGATGTTTAAGGAGCTCTGGTGGTGTGGTGGTTAGACTTTAGGCTGCTAACCAGAAAGTCTGCAGTTTGAAACCACCAGTCGCTCCCAGGGAGAAAGACAGGCCTTTCTACTCTGGCAAAGAGTGACAGTCTCAGAAACTCACAGGGCAGTTCTATCCTGTCCTATAAGGTTGCTATGAGTTGGCATTGACTCAAGGCAGTGCACGAGTAGAATATTAAAAGATCTCAGTGAAAGCAAGTTGTCATGAGTTGACAACATATATGTCTCATTCTCATTTCTGCCTTGGGGCTAGCATGAAATAGTTACACCGTTGTCTTCAAGCCCTAGAAGTGACTTACTATAGGATACAAAACATTGAAAAGAAGGTAGAATGGGTGGGAGGTGTTTATGGAAACCTGCGAAATACGGCATACCTACCGAAGACTGACAGCTAAATAAATGTCCTTCACCTTTTCACTTGAGGCAGCCCCAATTGGTCTCTGGGTCTCTCCACACATTGGGGTTCATTTTCGTTAATTCATCATCCTCATCTGGAACATAACCTGATGGTCATAACTGGTTGGGGTGAAAGTCTCACTCCACCACAAACCATTTGTATGAGTGTGGGCAACTTATGTACCTGCCCCGAGTTTCCAAAGGTGCATCCACCCCAGAAGGGTATAGGGAGAATTCACTGTGGTAACCTGGGGGAGGACCTACTAAGAACAGGAAACCAAGACGTGAAACTCAGAGTCCTCCCTTGTGAGGCAATAACTCCTTATCCTGAAAGTGCTCAAGTAAGAACCCGCTGTCAGATACACTTCAGAGGCTGTCACCCACCTCTAAGGCCGCTTCTGCCTTCCAACTCTGGGATTCTACAAGGTTGTAAATCTGGGCATAACAGTCTGGGCAAATTTTTAAAGTACGAAAATGTGTTTCCCAAGAGTTGTATGTCCTCCCCCTGTCTTCTGACATTTCAGGGATTCTCCCCTGCACTCTGACACACGCATACACACACGCATATAGACACACTCAGATACAGTTTGTTGCTCGTGCTCTCTGGGGTGCATTTCATGTCCCATCTCTCTCCCCTTCGGTGAAAGGGCACTTCCCAGGGAGGCTGTAGAGTGATGAGGTTATAAAGAGGCTTTGGCAGCTCATAACACTGTGTGACTTGGGAAAGTTGCTTAGTCTCCTGAGATTCATTTTGTCCCGCCTTAAAGGGGCTATGGAGAGTTCCTGGACAGTACTACGCCAGAAGGAGAGGGGTGGTTGCTGTTGAGTTGATTCTAGTTCACGGTAACCGCCTATCTATCAAAGTAGAACTAACTGTGCCTCCACAGAGTTTGCCTGACTGTGAATTTTTGAAGCAAATAACCAGGTCTTTCTTCCGTGGGGCTTATAAATTATACCCACCCCCAGGATCTCTCTGATAGAGATATAAACGTGTTAACTAGTTGCTCTTGCATCCTTGCTGACTCATAACAACCCTACTGTGCTGAGAAGAGACCACTGGGTTTTCAGGTGACAATCTTTATGGAAGGGTGAATGATACAACCCACCAGCCTTTCAGACACGCATTAACCACTGAGCCACCAGAGTGCCTTGGCAATAATATCAGATGAGGTAAAGTATGTGACGTGCTTAGCATATGATGTACCATGAGTTTAGCATATGATGTACCATGAGTACTTAATGCCTTCCCCGTAAAACAAAACCTCATCAAGTCTCCGACTCCTGGCAGCCCTATAGGACAGGGTAGAACTTCCTCCTGTAAGATTTTGAGACTGTAACTCGTTATAAGAGTAGAACTCCTCTTGTTTCTGGTGGTTTTGAACTGCTGATCTTGTGGTTAACAGCCTAATGTGTAACCATTAAACCACCAGGGCTCACTGATCAAGACCATCGTAACAATTATGTAGCATTGGTCAATAGCATCATTAACAGCATTGTTTGCTGCTGAACACATTATCTTTGGATTGCTGTTCTGTTCTTGTTGATTCGTGGGTTGGCGTGTTAGAATGCTGCTATCATTTACCCCTGACACGATGCCCATGGCAACACTGACACACAGCTCAGCCCATCCAGGATCCTCACTCTCACTGGGGCACTAGAGAGGGTAAGCTGGTCTGTTCCCACTGTGACTGCACCCATTCCATCTCCTAACAGTAAGTGTGGGGGGAGGGGAGGGTTCGCTCATAAAAGTACACTCTTGTGAGCGCAGTCTTGTCTTCTGGAAAGAGGCTGTTTGCTTGCAAGTTTGGGATCATTGCAGAATGCCCAGGACACAGCTTTTTTTGGTCTTCTTTTTTTGAATGTGAGTTATAGAGACTAAACATCTTTGATATATAAATCAAGGGGTTATTATTGCTTTCCGTTGCTGGCAAGTCGATTCCGACTTAGGGAGGCCCCAGGAATGTAGCGGTGAATGGCACTCTCCGCTGTTTCCAAGGCTGGGACCTTTGGTAAACGGAAGAGCAGCTTGCCTTCAAGGGCACCTCTGGCTGGGTTTGAACCAATGGAGTGTTCCGGGGTAACCAAGCCCATCACGATGTGTGCCACTTAGAGACTCCACCTCCAAGGACAACGTGTAGAACCATGACACCAAAATGCATATTCCATAAATCACATACCTCAGGAAGCGCCACCAGGCTTGAAACAGTGAATTGTTAGATGATGCTCTATTTGACAAGCATCCATCTTGATCACTTGAAAAACATACACCTTCTTACCTGGACTGTGGGGGAAAGTAATAACTTTCCTTTTTTAGGTCCATGCTGCTTGCACCACCGTCACTGCCTCTGGGTTTCCGTAATGAAGAGGCGAAAGTTGTCCAGAAATAACATTTATTAATCAACAATAAAACACACAATAGAAAAGGCCTGGTAAATAAAACTATATATTTAGAATGCTTTATTGATTGGTTGATTGATTTTGCTGCAGTACTCCACAAAACACTACAGACAGTAACAAAATAATTCAATAAATATTAAAAACTTTTGAGAGTCATCGGACACTCTTTATCATATGGGAACATCAGCAATGCCATGGCCATTAGGTACACTATGAAACACTAACCTAGATTTCTTTCTGGGAATACAGGACACAATTAATTTTTTTATCCAGAATTCATAACATTGACACATATCCATATACAAGAGAATAGCTCACAGCAAGTGAAGCAGACTCCCCAGTGGCCTGGATCCATCTGCCTGTACATCCGTTAAAGATATTACAATGTAAACAGGAGAGAAGTCAACACACTAAAGAGATATGTCAGGGCTTGCTGGGAATGGGAGGAGCGAATGCCGGGCAATGAAGGGTACCAGCTGCTCACATGTTTTCCATCGCTCTCTTACCAATATGCTCCCTCCCCTTGTCTGCTTTTTCTTGGTTGAGGTAATCCAGCACTTTCATTAACAGATCTTCATCCAAGTACTGCCTGTTTGGGGTCTCATCATTCTTCGGGGCCCCCACAGGGAACCTTTTGCTTACCAAGCCAACTTTGTCAGCCTCCTGAGAGCCTCCTTGATTCAAATGCTCTTTGATGCTCTGCTCAATTTGCTCCTCTTCTGGGAGGTCATCCTCAGATGAGCTCTGACTGGGGACCCGCTTCATCTGGTTTGAATTCATGAGCTCAGGGTATTTCACGAGCATCCTGGCCAAGTACTCTCCTAAGTCCTGATCCTTGTCATTCAGGTTTTCATACCCCATTTGCCTATTGTCGATGTCTGGTAGCCAAGCAGCTTTGGGAAGTTGGTTTGCTCTGGCCCTCTCAGGACCGTAGGGAAGCCGCGGCAGAACCTTCTCTCGGGGATACTGATTGAGAAAATATGGAGGCTTCTGATTGGCAGTGCTCTCCATCCCTAAAAGATTTAAAATGTCCTCCACGGTGACTCCTTCTGGAAGGGCCTCTGTCCCACCACGGCCAGGAGATTTGGGGTAGCCACTCTTGGAGATCATCTTATTTGGGAATGTATCCGGGAGGTCGAAGTCAGCCTCTGGGATGTCTTCTGGGTCAGCAGGAAGCTCGAACTCCTGCTCGGGTTCCACAGCTCCACTTGGCTTCTCCCCAGATCTGAGCATGTCAATTAAATCTTCAGGGGGTATCTGTAAATTCCTTGAGATTTCAATCAGCTGGTAAATAGACTGCGAATCAAGTGGTTTCTCGAATAGCCTCATTGCCCTGTCTCCGTTTTGCCCAGTCTGTGACCGCGCACTTCTGGCGGCATTTGCCAACCTTTTCAAGTAGGCGATGACTTTGGGGACATCCTCTGAGAGTTGGTCTTTACTCTCTTTCTGGAGAGCTTCATCCTGGAGGCCCGGCTGACCCGAACGCTTCATTTCATCATTGATTTGCTCATTTTTTCCCATATTTTCCTTGCTGTCTCTCTCTGCTTCCTGCGTTTGACTCTCTGTTTTCTCCTCCACTGGATTCCAATCTTCTCCACCAACCACATCCTCATAGGCGATGTTGTTGGACTTGTAGATATCATCTTCATCATCCGTGTAAAGCTTTTGCTTCTCATCCGCCCTCTCACGCTTCTGGCTATTGGGGCCTGTTAGTTTCCCCAGCTCTTGAAAGACAGATTCCAGGGTCGCAAGACTTTGAGGAGTGTATTGTTCCTCCACGATTTCATTTGTACGCTTCAGTGGATTGTCCCTGGAATTTTCTTCGTACATGGGGGGAAAGTGCATGTGCTTAAGCTTCCTCTCTGGCCACTGTGGAGCCTCATAATCGTCGGTCATGTCCAGTGGAAAGCTCTTGTCTGAAGTCACAGGGTACGGCTTGTTTTCTTTGGGGGAAGACAGAACCTCGCCTTCAGCATGTCTCAGCGCTTCCAGTATGATCCTCATCCACTCATCTTGGCTCAGGGAATCCCTTGAACTATCTGGCAAGTGGCTCTCATCACTGTTTTCTTTTTGCTGAAAGGGAACCGAGACACCTTGGTAGGGATTATAGTCTGGACTACTTTCTTCTTTGTGGGCTTGTTGCCGGAGCTTGTCAATGTACTCCAAAGCCCTGATCATTTCGGGACTTGGGTACTTTGGGGCATTTTCCAATCTGAGATCTGGTTCCTTCGGAAGCAGCGGATTGCGCTGAAAGGAGGCTGCTTTGGCACAGGAGATCAGGAAAATTAAAGGGAGGAGAGACAAGACTGCTCCAAGCCGGGCGGTCTTCACCTCTGCCATGTTTCAGAGATTGCCTTAAAGCACAGAAAAGATGAGTTAACACAAATGAGACAGAATAGAAGACAATCAGCAAATTATGCACCATTGAGGAAAAAAACATAAAGGATTGTTCATATTAAACTTATTAAAACTCTCCTTAAATTCATTAATATTTCTGCATAATCTCTAGAAGTTAACCACAAGATCTTTAGCAAACATGTTATATCCCGATATCAAACATTGTTATACATCTTGGATAGAATTCTCTTGACAAAACCAATAGCAACATCACTGGTATGAAGTTTCTCAAATGTTATTTCATCTGAAAAACATGTAGCTTGACTTTTATTACATTTTTTTCTGTTTAAGTTTTTAAAAAAAAAAGGTTAAAGGCATTCCAAGATGCTTCTTGTATAGCATTCCTATTGAAGTCATTTATTAAATAATCGGTTGGCTTAATTTTTTCAATGTATGCACATGCACATTATTTTCTGAATTGTCCATGTAATTTAGCTGTAGAAACACAGTGACAGTGGCATTATTCTGTATGATTAGGTGACATATCATGTCCATCCACTGAATTACTTTGTAGACTAGTCCCTCTCACATACATTTTTCAGAAATATAGAGATCATTCTGGCACCAGGTCCAGCTATCAACTTTGGAAGGTCTGTGCCTTCACAGCCTTCAGAACATGGGGTCTTCTCGGGTCTGGTGAGTAGAAAAAAAATCAGTGATGTTTTCCCTCCCATGTAAACATCCTAAAAGAACTCATTAAATTGTGTTTTAAAATCTCTGCGCTCTTATTACCTCTGATAATTTTCTTGTGACTGTCTTCGGAATGCAATTGTGGTTAGACTTTTCATCAGCCCTCAAGAGTATATAGTAAATAATAACATATGCTTCTGAGAGAACATAGGTTTTCTAGTCTATTTCAGGACTCATGAGTGTTCATATTCAGCTTGTCTTATGTCTGTGTCTATTTTTGTGTGGATCTGTTAAATCTAAAATGACTCATACTTAAGAAATCTTAAAATAACTACTATGCAGTTCCCAATTTAGATAAATAGACAATGTGTTGAATTCTTCCTATTTGAAAGTCTTCATTCATTTTTTTCCTCCAATGCTTTATAATCTCACATATGAATTAGCAAGAGAATTAGATGTTTCATTTGGACATTTGACATTACTGAGTCTGAAAAGCAATTCTCACACTCACAATTTTATTGAAAATGAAATGGATGTAAAAGAGAGTTGCAAGTTTATTAATGCGATCTTTACTAGATCATGGTTTGTAAGAGATCAGTACATTATATGGGTATAAATTTCTGTTATGCAAAACATGTTGTTCACTAAACCATATTGGTTAAAAGCAATATTTTCCATTTTAGAGCCTTGCAATTATAGAAACTTTTAAAATGAATATACATATATTTGTAGTTGCTATCCCCATTTGATTAGACTACTTAATTAATAAGACAACCCTAGAAAATTTGAGAAAACACCTTTAATATATTTACTGTAAGTAAATACTTATCACAGGTAATTTTATTGATAAAAGCCTTTAGTTTAATTTAAATGCATTATACAGTTTTCATATTATTTTCAGAACTGTTTTAACTGTTCAGAACCTATTTTCAACAGTTGGTATTTGAAAAACAATTTTAAAACCTCCTTGAACTTGTTTCCTTTGAAACCATTATCCCTCAGTAGTCTTAGCAAAAGGCTTATGTGCATCCTTTGAAATCATTATATTAGAGTTGGGCTTTGCTCAAGATATGGAGTGGCCATTTCAGTTGTTAAAACCACAGCCTAACAAGAGCTGACCTTTGGTCATTTATTCAGGTTCATTTTGGAAGACACAGTGGATTCCTTTGAGGAAAACGCAAAGAAATTATTTCCCAAACAGCAGCTCTTCTACGTGGTAAAGATGATTCCAACACCTCCATGATCCTACATAGGGTTTTATTTCAAATGTAATTTGCTCAGACCCTAATAATTAGAACACAGTTTCTTCTTAGCTAACTCATGTTAAAAATACTTAAAATGTTTTCTATTGATACTCAAACTGAAATGCTGGCATATGTATATGGATAAATATAGTTAGACTAAGAATACTAGTTGAGATATAGAAAAAGAAAAATGCTTGTCCCATTCAAAATGTTGAGCAAAACATTTTACAATCTATTCTAATCAAAGGATAGTAACAATAATGATGCCATTATGAATAATTTCACCAATGTAATTCATGGTCATTTCAAAGTATGCCCCCAACATAACAACTGTATGTCAAAACTGAAAAAAAAATCATGCCAAAAAAGTATAATTGTAATGCTTATACCCTTATGAAGAATTTCACCAGCATAATTCATGGTCAATTCAAAGTCTACCCCAATATAATAGTATTTCATACCCAAAACAGGAATAAAACATGCATTTAGAATAATTCTGAGCTTACTTTCTTTGATGAAAATTATGGAATAATAATGTAAACATTATTTGAGTATACCAATTCAAAAAATAAATTTACATTGTTGGTTATTTTTGAGCTTTGGTGAGGTGAATTTCAAAAGAAAAAGAAAGCTATGTCCAAAATGTATTGTCTTTTTTAACTAATATGTTTAACAGCTTGGACTCACAGGAAACCTACTGTTAAAAATATTAAACATATAAATCAAATCACTTGTTTTGCATCTCATGCTAAGAGGAAGACACAATAAATTAAGAAAGAAGCAAAACACCAGGCTTGATCAACATCACATTAATATATACATCAACACTACAATTCTTAACTTTTCTACTCTCTTTCCAGTATAATTATCTGAATAATATTCTGGTTAATAAATATCCAACAGCAAGTAGTATAAATCATTGGCCTAATTATATAGATGTGCATGTTTAAATCTATGATTATATCTATACATATATATTTATGCAAGATGGTTTCAAAAAGTTCCTGGGAAAATTCAATAAGAAAATAATGGACTGTTCCCAGGAACCTTTTGAAGCCCCCTCCTTACATACAAGCATCACGTCCCTCAGATTGAAGAGCAGCAGGTTGCTCTTCAGTTATTTTATCGATATACGCTTGCCAGACAGTATTTTTCTTCTCGGCTAGAAATGAAGGAAAGAACATGAAATGTAGAACTTTGCAGTCAATGGAAGAGAAAGGCAGTCTTACGTCTTTTTCAAATGGCCACGAAGGTCCCCGGCATGGGCGTCCTGGTCAGTCGGAGGAGCTGCTCGGACCGTTTCAGCACCAGGACAGCTCCTCGGCTTATAGGGAGCCGGCGCCTGACTCCGCACTGCCACACTGACGTCACCGCTCAGCCACACACCCCACAGACCGGAGCACGAGCGAGCTTTTTCAAAGAACCTGAGAGAAAATAATCACTTTTTTTTTAATGTGTTGCCTGCTTACGCCACCTGTCTTTTTGTGACGAAAATTGCAGCTTTCGCTTTCCTGCTTGGAGGCTTTGAAATACAATGCTCCGAAATCTGTCAGATATGGCTAATTAGAAGATACTCTACCATGTTTTGAAATCTTTTGGTAAGAGTTCCTTGTTCTTCGTGATAAGAAAGTTTTACAGACTAGGGTTTCCGTTTTCTTCATGGCCTACGCTCAAATTACGTTGTGAATATCAAAAGCCATATCATGACCAGGATCAAAATTCTGGAGGTGTGTGTGTGTTACATATTTCAATCAAAGAGGAGAGCTGCCTCTTTTTAAATGCACAGCAGAATCAGGGCTCTAATGACGTGGAATTTTGGATAATGTTTTGAAATGGGCATGTATAGGATTTGGAAGTTAGTGGCTGAAATTTCTCTATGAATCTTTTGGTATCTTTGGCTACATCAGAGTTCAAAAATGGAGTCTCAGAAGCTGAGTGCTAATGGAAACACTCAATCTACAAGGGGGGAGTCAGGGGAAGCAAGTCTTTTCATTGCGAAAAACCTAACTCGCAGGTAATTAAAATTCACTTACAACTGAAATGAAATTGTACTAGATATATTCTGTTGAATCAGATGAATTGAACAACGTTCATGCTTGTGAAAAGCCAGAGAACGGTCCAGATTTGTAATTCATGACTATTGACTACAATCATATGCTTCATTAAATTTGCATAAATTATTAAATTTATGTCCATCTAACATTTTAACTTTATTTTATTAAAGAGATGAGTTCCTTAACAGCTATATAAAATTTGAAATATGCAAAAGAAACTTACCATAGGCTGTGCATAGATCATGAACATCAAATTGATGTACAGCCCATAGTTATGAACCAACATGTATGGACTATCATATTAAACTTTCAAACTATATAATATCAAATAGTTCATTAACAAACAGGTGTTACTTGGTAATTGCATAAAATCATCATCAACATCATCATGATCATTATTACTATTAATGTATGGGTGTAAGTCAAAAAGTGTTGCCATTAGAATTCTTGTACACGGATTTATTTAAAAGGTACATGTTTAAATATGTTTTTGCCATCAGTGGATGGCTACGGACAAGTCCTCTCAGTAATGCTTTTGACTTAGTCTAATTAAGGTTCCTTCAAAAAGGATATAATCAAAGCAGTCGCTTCTGAAGGGTTTTGCTGGGCCAGTTACATTCAAGGCCAAGAGGTCAGCTCAAAAAGTGATGATGATTTTGGGGAGAGTTCCCAAAGAAGTTATCAAGATAGATTTTCTCAAAGGCCCCCAGGTGACCATGGAGACCGGGAAGGGTATAGAAAAGTGTTAAGAAAGCAGAAAACAGCATTGCTGAGAAAGGGTCAGGAAAGCTTCTCCATCGTGACAATGCATCTGTTCATTCTTTGAGGGTAGGAAGGGCTGTCCTGCTAGGATTTTATTGGAAAACTTTACCACATCCACCCTACAACTCTGATCTTGCCCCTTCAGACTTCTTTTTGCTTCCAAAAGTCAAAGAACATTGAAAAGGAACATGATTTTTGTCCCTTGAGGATGCTAGAACTGTCCTTTTTACATGGTATAAATTGAATAGTGCAGAATTCTTCGGCGGTGGTGAGAAAGATAAAAATACTGCATCATAAATCATAGACCTAGATGGAAGATATGTCAAAAACAATAGCTCCACAGTTAATATTTTTGTTTAATAAAGATCACTATGGTTTTATGACAATAGTTTTTTTACTTACCCTCATATTGCCATGTTAAAAAATGTTTTGATGTATTTGTTCAATGCTTTATGCATAGAAAGGTACAGTATATACTGAGGGGGTTTCAAAAAGATTGTAGAAAAATTCAAATATCTCTTAATTCCATGTTTCCCCAATCTTTTTGAAGCCTCTAAGTATGTGCTCAGATAGCAATTGGCTAACTAACACTAGATACCAACCACATCTAACTGTTCCAACTAACATAAACGTTCAACTTAAAGACAGATTTAGCAATGGAACTTAGGGACTGCCTATACATAGGAGGTTCATTGTGCTCTGATAACGATTAATCAATACTAATTGGTCCATTTTCTAGATACAGACTGCACTTAATATGTGTAGACTGCCTACTAAGTGCCAGTAGTTGATGTTGTTCTTGTTAGTTGCTAAATCCAGTGTTTTCAAAACATTTTGCAAGGAATTGTGATTCAAATGCAACAATTCTTCTTCAGTCTTCCTTATTCATTGTCCAACTTTCACATGCGGCCATTGAAACTACCATGGTATCTTAGTCTTCAAAGCGAAATCTCTCCTCGTCAACACTTCTTAAAGAGGTCTTGCACAGAAAATGTCCCCAGTGAACTATGTCACTGGATTTCTGGACTGATGCTGCCATGAGTGTTGATTGTAAACCCAAGCAAAATGTAATCCGTGGCAACTTCAATCTTCCCTCCATTGATCATGCTGTTGTCTCTTGGTGCCGTTGCGAAGATTTTGGTTTTCTTTACATTGAGTTGCAATCCGTATGGATGACTGAGCCCTTGGTCATCAGCAGCAAGTACTTCAAGTTGACCGCAGTTTCAGAAACTAAAGTTGCATCATCTCCGTATTGCAGATTGTGAATAAATCTCCCTCCAGTCCACGTTTTTCCCCACAGAGTTCAGTCTCTCAGCTTCTGCTGGTGGTTCAAAGGGGAATAACATAAAAGCTTTGCCTCTGAAGAGCCTTTAGACTATAAAAAGTGTCAAGAGACAAATAAATCCAATAATTTGATATAAATTGGTAAGCACTAAAAAAGAGTAAATCATTTAAAAAAATACAAAAGTTGAAAACAAAGAGAAAAAATAAAGAGTAAATCAACAGTGTTTTGAAAGTATTACAGAGAGTTATTTAACTCAAGCTGAAATCTCAGGGGAGGAAGGAGAAGGCCAGATGCAAAATAAACTTGAGCTAAGATTTCTTATTGTATTATTTCTTCAAAATATTGTGTTATGTGCTCAGGGAAGTAGGGAATGTTTACATTTGAATGGACTTTTTAAATCTTGGGGAAAGTTGACCTTAGTTCCCTTTATTTGCTCTCCTCATGAAGCAACTTGGTTTCCCAAATAAGTTAGAAACCATTGCGTTGGCATTGATCTGAATCATGCAGTTTCAGGTTAGAATCATGACAATCTGTTTAGGCCTCATAATAAATTTTTAGAACATGATCAAGTGCTGGGTTGAAAGAATCTAAGGAAATATGTCCCATTTCTCAAGTATCATCTCAAGGATACCAGGTCATTTGCTGATACCCTTGGCAGCTTTATGCACAGAATAATGGGGGTTTTTTTTTAGATCTTAACAAAGGCCTCGTTAGCAAACTGAGTTTCATCTAATGGGCTTCCCAGCAATTCTGGGCATCAAGATGAACTCACCAGTATCAACACAAACCAAAAAAACTCCTCGGAGATATTCTTATAAGACTCAGCTCAACAGGAGTCTTGAAACTCCTCAAAGAAGTCCGACTAAGCTAGTTCACGCATGTGGAGCTGATCTTTTCTAGTAAGAACTAGCAGCAATATTTCTTCTAAGACTCCAGAATCAACCTTCTTCCCCAGAAATGTCTGATCATCAAAAGACGTGCGGGAACTCTGGGGTATATTGCCGACATCAGATTCATGGTGTAGGTAGGGATGAGCCACATGTAGATAACTAAATTCCTGCCTATTGTGTGATTTATATTGTATTTTATCATTTATTGAGTGTTATTATATTCCAAGCATTGTTCTTGGAAAGTCAGCAACCTAATTTGTGCCTCATGACAACTATTTATCTGCCAATGTCTAGTCAGTTCCTGTTCTTGGCTGCCCATGTGTCATAGAGTAAATAGGATCCATAGGGTTTTCTTAGCTATAAGTGTTACAGAATCAGATCACAAGGCCTTCCTTCCATGATACCACTAGGTAGGTTCAAACTGCCAACCTTTCGGTTTGTGGTGAATGTCAACCATTTGCACCAACCAAAATCCTCATGACAACTGTGGCAAATCGCTATTTTTATCTGCATTTTATAGACATAGAAACTGCATCTCAGAAATTAAGTAAATTGGCACTATCTCCTGATAATAATTGGTAGGGAGCTAGTATTTGAATCTAGGTCTTTCCAAAGGCATTTCCATTACATATTATGAAGCAGGTGCTTTAATTGGTGATAGTAATAGAGAAAAGAATATGGCAGGACTACAATTGTCAATGAGTTCAGTCTCAAATGCACTCACTTTGTCCATGTGGCTTTTATTGCCCAGATGTAGTAGGGCCAGCTTGCTATCTGGGCAACTGAGTTGATGTTATGTAAGATCACTCCCTTGACGCTATGGGCTTGTTATAAAGGCTTCCAAACAAGAAAGAGCTTGTTGAAATGGCCATATTCTATTCACCTACTGCCTGTATTACACAGATCTTTCCATTATATATATATTTTTTAATCTTTGGAAGCCAAGAAATTTTTCTAGTAGTTCTTTTTCCTAAATAGAACTATGTCTCCTATTAGAAAAGTATTTTGGCAAGTGAGCATGCAACATTCACAGGCACACAGATCATATATGCGTTAGCTATTGTATAGATGTGAAATATTTTCCAGTATGCACAATACATTAAAGATAACCTGATAAAAGATCAAAAGAAACGTCATTTTATCGCTGCACCTGAGATAAGATCATTTTAAACATTCTTTACAGGATTTTAATCTCTTTCCATTCTAAATCCCCAGCTATCCTGGACTCCAGGTAACAAAGCTCTGTATAGTGAATGTTTTCAGAGTAATTGTGTACTGTGCATGATAATGGTTCTTACTAAATTAGCTTGCTTTCTCACCACGGCACTGCTGGATTCAAGCTAATCATTTACAATT